GGGAGGAGCAGGGAGAAGGACAGAGGGGTGAGGCCACACAGAGGCATTGGCTTGTAGCACAGGTGAGGCTGGAGCGTTGGAGGTGCGTCCTGGGTAGGGATGTGCACAGTGGGCTGTGGGGCTCTGAGAGACCAGTGGGGGAGGGGCGGGGACAGGGCAGGGATAGAGGCACCTGCTGGAGCTGGGAAGGAAGGGGTGTGGAGAAGCCGGGGTCAGCTCTGCAGGGAGAGTCGGAAGCAGGGCCCTGGCCACCCTCTGGGCAGAAGCATGGGTGGTACCATGAGGGCTGTGAGCTCAGCAGCCGTCAAGACTCTGGGCCTCGGGGCAGGCTGGGAGGCGGCAGGACCCTCGGCCTGGGGGTGAGCAGTCTGACAACTTGGAGACCCCCAAAGGAGACCCCACCAGGGTTCAGGTGAGGAGGGAGGGAGGATGTGGGGGACTGGAATGGCACAGGGTTCAGGGAGTGGGGCAGAAAGAGGGGGGCAGGCAGAAGCCCAGGGAGGGAGCTCCCCCTGGTGGCTTCTCCCTTCCCAGCAGCACCCCAGAATGAGCAAGAGCAGGTGGGAGTCTCAGGAAGAAGGGGCCCCGGGTCCAAGACGGCCAGTGGGGCAGGGTCCTGTGGAAGCTGGCCCCTGTGGCACTCCACTGCCGATGGCACCCTGCCCCCAGGAAGTCCATCTGTCATCCAGGCATGGTACCTCATCCTAGGCTGGAGAGCTCTCTTGCCTGATCCCTGGACCCAACAAGGAGGGGAGACCTGGGCCAAGAATGGGGGTCCCCTGACATCCCAGCCCCATCCCTTCCAGTGAGCACCCACACTTCCCATGCATGTGGGGGGTCCCGGTACTAGAGTCACCTGGGGAAGCAGCTGTCAGTGAGGCACCCAGTCTTCAGGAAGAGCTCCCAGCGCGCATCCCCCAAATGTGGCACCCATGAGAGTGTGTACATAGCTTGGGAGGGCTGACAGAAGAGTGGGGTGCAAGGCAGCAACACTGCAGGCTCAGGGAGGGGTGACACATAGGTGGGGGAGCAGGTCTCTGAGCCCTCAGCTTCCCACCTGGCCTGAGAAGGTTAGCAGAGGCCTTGGGGGCTCAGGGATCCCAACCTCCACAAGCCTTTCTCCAACCTGAGTGACCCCCAAGCTGGTTGAACCCCTCAAAACAGCACAGCATCCTGGACCCCTGTACCACAGTTGCTCCCCAACAGGCTGGTTCTCCCACAGTTTCAGAGACCAGGCATGTGCATTCAGGGCACCAGGTCAGGGGTGGGCGTGGGGGGAGGTTCCAACTGATGCCACGTCAGAGGGACCCGATGTGCAACAGAAGGGAACAGCGCCCGGTCCTGCGTCAGCCTCACCAGGGTTGTGATGTCCAAGGGTGTTGCAGCGGCTGCTGTGGCCGTCTATCCCTCTCAAGGAGCGCTGTCCTCTCTTCCACCCACTCCCTACCTCCGTGTCAGGCCAGCTCCACGGAACGGCACCCCAGGGCCCCTTCAAGAAAGGGATCGTGGCAAGGCTGGGCTTGGGCCCCTGACGGAGTGGCAATCCCCCCTCGGTAGTCGGGCACCTTCCACTTGAAGTCTGCGTAAGCTGACCCTGTCCCAGGCTGAGGCCAGCGGTCCTGGCCAGCCCTCTCGGAACATCCGATCCTGGCCAGCCCTCTCGGGACATCCAGTCGGCTCCGGAGTAACATGGGAGATGGTTAAAGGAGAGTATCCGGATCATCGTGGTTTCTTTTGTTTGTGAAAAGACACTCGTGGCTCTTGGGTGATTATCACATTTCCAGGAGGGACGTCTCAGGAGTTTGCCGAGCCCGAGTCTTGGGATTCCAACCCTGTAAGGACACAGTAGATTAACTGCACCCTGGGGTCCCCGCGACTGTAAATCTTTGTAGGAGCTGGCCCCGTTGTCTTCCTCCCACCTTGCGGTTAGCAGCTACCCCACCCACAAGCCACTGCACCACCAGTTCTAGAACGTTCTAGCTCAAAGAGGGCACTCCTTCAGTAGCATGAGAAATGCACATGGAGAATGGAACAGCAAGGGCAAGGGTGTGTTTTATAGATTATCCTGGGCCCTTCCACCCAGAGCAGCCGTGCTCTGAGCAGGGTCCTCCCTTGCAGCAGCCTACTGCTGACCAGACACCCGTTGGCAGAGCCTCAGCTGTCCCCTCTGAGAAAATAAACCAGGTGACGTGAACCGCAAGCTGCCCAGCACTGATATTTTAGGCTTTCCCAGCGGGGAGGGAGGCATTTCACATTTCCAGAGGACAGGTCCTGGCCCCGGGATGCCCCGCACACCTGACTCAGCGCAGGGCCTGGGGTGGCGTGGCCGAGGTAGGGCACCTTCCCACTCTGCTTGCCCAGCCCGGAGGCCACAGAACCTCTCTGGGAACACTCCTCAGGCCCGTGCTGTCTGCCCTGGGCCTGTAGCCCCAGTCCCTGACAGGTGGACACTGGCTCTGGGGGCCCCGTGTGTCAGAGCAGACAGGGAAGGAGCCTGGTTCTGGACACACACCGCTGACCTCCGGAGCATGGGAGTTGTTTGCGCCCCTGGAGACTCGGCACTGAAGGGTGGCTCCATTGGCTCTGGGAGGATGAGGGTGGGTACTTGTCATCCCGATGGCCTTGATCAGCCTCCCCAGGCCCGAGGGTGGGGAGCATGGGCTAATGCTCCCGCCCGCATGAGTGGGAAGACAGACAATTGAAGGGGACCAAGGGGCTTCCTTTGCAGCGTGGTCTCGTTTATGAGAAGACCGACAGCCTCGGACCCCCAGGAGCAGCGCTGCTCTGAGCTGCTGCGTCTCGCAGAGTCCGGATGGGCTCAGCGGGCAGTGGTTCTGGGCCGAAGAGCAAACAGATAGAAGTGTGGTCAAAGCGCTCCTTGGAAACAAGAGTGGACAGTGTGTTGGGAGGGAGCGTGTCTGAGGGCCAGCAGGAAAGAGGGAGGCCCTTGGCCAAACGGACGGGCTCCACATAGCAATGCAAGTGGGCTCGGCAAAGGACCGGCCGCCGGCATTTCCTCCCGATGCACATCAGGCCACTGAGAGTTGGAACCAACGCGAGGGCACCTGGCACGGAAGAAAGGCCTGGTGACCTGCTTCTGTGCTGGTCCGTGGCAGGGACGCCAGGGGCAGGCGTGTGGGGCAGTTCAACTCTGCCACTCACGGAGGGAGGTGGCCGTGAGTCAGAGCTGACTCCACATAATGGAGTGGTTTCACCAACCTAAACCAGGCCTGTCTGTGTTTTATAGGGAGACTAATCCTATCGGAGTGGGACCGCAGGTTAACCTGGCTGCTCACGTATTCCAAGTCGCTGTTTTTACCCAAGGTCAGATTCATCAGGCCCCAGTGTCAGGACTTGGACATAGCCTTTGGGGACACAACTTCATTGGCCTCAGGATGAGTCCTGTGGACGCTTAGAGAGGTGTCCTCCAGGCTGAGGGGCCCTGAGAGCCATTGTCCCTCCCCTCCCTGCGCCTGCCCAGGGTGTGGTCCCACAGCCCTTGGCAGCCCCAGGCTGGGACGGATGCCCTCAATCCCAGCTTTCCTGGCGGGCCTGGGCACATACATGCAGGATGTCTGGGGAGCCCCCATAGGTGCGTCAAGAACCACCTCCCACAGAGCTGACGCCAGCCCTTCCCTCCGCAGCACCTACAGCGAGCTCACCAAGTGCACCCACCATGTCGCGGATCAGCTGGAGTGCTTCTGGCCCAACGCCGAAGTGGACCGCTTCTTTGTGACCATCCACCGGCACTACTTCAACAGCTGCCCCGTGTCCGGCCGGGCTGTGCACGACCCGCCAGGCAGCATCCTGTGTCCCTTCATCGTGGTGCCCATCCTGGTGACCCTGCTGGTGACCCTGCTGGTGGTCTGGCGCAGCAAGAGCAGGGAGGGCATCGTGTAGCGGTCGGAGGCAAACCCTGGGGCCAGGGCAGAGACCAGGCTGCCCCACTATCCCCCAGCAAGAGAGGAACTGAGACCCGCTGCCTGCAGACAAGGAGCGCTTCGGGGTCTCAGAGGGTCCCCCTCACAGAGGTGCAACCAACCCCGGAAGGGCCACCAGGGGCATCATGGCCCTTTGTTTCTGAACCTGCGTTTCCAGTTCTGCTCCCTGACACACACACCCCTCACTGTTTAAAGGTCACCATGTTCTGCCCACCCACCCCAGAGATGGCTTGTGCAGGGATGGTATGTGATTAAAGGATGTCCCTCATAGCAGGACTCCTTCTTTCTGGCTGTACCCCTGGGAATGTGGTTTCGGGGAGAACTCTCATGTGGAGACCTGGGTCCCGTCCGTGTGACTGCTGTGCAGCCTCCACCTGTCTGTCCATGAGGCTGGCGGGTTGCTCTGGTGCAGAACAGGTTTCAGGGGTTCCTCCAGGCTAAGAGACTAGGAGGGAAGGGCTGGCATTGACCTCCAAGAAGCAGCCCAGTCTGTCCGCCCCCAATCCTGGGGTTGCCGCAGGACCAGCAGTGTCTCGTTCCTTGGCCTGTGGGGTTGCCGTGAGACACCACCACATCAGGAGACACAGCTTCCCTTCAGGGTCTCTCCTCCATCAGACAGGAGGCTCCCCCACAGGGGGTATGGGTCTGGGGAGAGGGGACGATATCTGAGAGACCCCATCATAGGATGGTGCTGTTACCCCACGTAACTTCTGACAGCCGGAAGTGCTGCACAGGCCAGGGCCCTGCATGTGGCAGGGTGGGGGGCTCACAGGTAGAACCTTCTAGTTT